ATGTCCAGTACACCCTGCTACAGTATATGTGACATCGCCTCTACCAATGACGTCCGTGCATCCAGCTCACCGTTCTGCCTGTGTCATCTTCCTTGTATGACCCGCTCCCTGCCTTCTGGTTGCCTGGCGATTGGAGGGAGCGTTGGCACCGGCTTGCCATCTCCCCCCTGCTCCCCGTTTGTGTCTCAAAATTTACTGTATCTGACTCTCCCTGCCGGCCCCTGGAGGATGTGTTCCCCCTTTGAGTCTGGTCCCTCCCAAGGTTTCTTCCTTCTAGGGAGTTTTTCCTTGCCGCTGTCGCCTATGGCTTACTCAATGGGGGCTTTGGGTGGGGATGCTGTAAAGCGCTTTGAGATGATGTAATGTTGTGATAATGCGCTATACAAAAATACATTTGTTGTTGTTGTTTGTACTAGAGCAGAAACATGCGTGACATTTTTCTTGACGTTTAAATTAGTTAAATACTTGTATATTTGCTTCTAAAGAATTCAGTGGTGTCTAGAATTTACCCATTTCATTAAATGATTGTAATTTTTAATCTTAAGACAAGATGAGCATCTGAGATATTTTCATATGATTATTCTGTGCAATATATGAACACCCTTCAGAAGCATGACCTTATACAAAACAAGAATACCATTTAAAAACTTAGCATGACTATTAATCTAACTAATAATAGTGAGATGTTTGTACTCTGTCCCAGAAAATTGATTTCGGTCTTTATGAAGCCTGACAATTGATATAAAACATATCTGTGTTAATCTTGGTAATAGAGTGTCAGAGAACAAGCTGATGTCATAGCACAAAGTTTGTCCCGTGTGCCAAGTTCTGATGGAGAGCAGGAAGAGAAAGGCCTCAGGGTTGGTGCTGGCCATGTTCAGCCTGTCCCTGATTATCGTTACCCTGGGGGTCTACAGTGCAACTCGCACAGAGAACGTCAGCATCGCTGGCTACATTCCAGGGGTCGTTGTAAGTGGGATTTATGCCCGTATTTATATAAATCACGTCTGTATGTGTTTAAATGTCTAAACAAACCCACGTCTCCTTCACAGACCAGCATGCAATTTTAAACATAAATGAGCTAAAGCTAAATCGCCCAAACTGGTTAAGCATCAACATCAAATTTCATGGGGGGGCGGGGGAAATCCTGGGGGGGAATCCACTGAAATATTAGATTAGCTGCCCACCATCCCAATACTGTCTGCATGACTAAGAAACATAAGAAGCAGAACAGCAGAAGTGGAGGACATGCAATACTACAACAGTGAAAGACTTAATATTTACTTTTCTAATATATACATGCAATTCACCCTATTCGTATTAAATCACTATAAAAAGTTGTAACAATGAAATGGAAAATCAGCATGTAGCACAAGACTATGAACAGAAAGGCTTTTAGTGAGATAAATTAAAGTTACAATGGACAAAGTACAAGTGGTGTCTGTCAGTGGGCTTGGGAGTGTGTGTGTGTGTGTGTGTGTGTGTGTGTGACAGGTTGGCATGTCCTCCTGGGGTCTCTTGTTTCATGCGCTGGCATAAGCTCCAGGTTTCACCCTATACTGGATAAGTGGAAATAAAATGGATAGATAGATGGATGGATGGATGGATGGATGGATGGATGGTTTGACAATTTCTTTCCATCATAAGCAGCACTTGTAGTTACTTGTGTTGGGTCTTACCTGTGTATCTTTTTTGGCGTTTTGGGACTCTTCCTTCGGGAAAATCGCAAACAGTTGGTAAGTGCAAGGAGTAGGACTGTAATGTAGGTCTGTTTGTAGGAGTATAAAAAGTAACATAGTACTGCATGTAAATCAGGGAGTATGACTGTAGTACCATACTTCGGGCTCAGTTTTGGCCTAGTTTGGCTCCAAACTTTCTCTCGATGCCCCATTTGTGTTTTACTGTGAATAATTGTCCTTCATTAGCATCTTTTTTTTTGGCCAACGGTAAATGGCTTCAACCCAGATGTTTCTGATGTTACTATGGCAGAAAATGTGTCTGCTTCGCGAGGTTAAAGGTTACATTATCTCCGTAGTCCTCAGGAGGAAGTGCAGTATGGGTACTGTAGTCCATCTTTTTGAGGACAATTTGGATGATGCAGTAAATATGAGATGTTCTTTTAATAAACAAAATGTTAAATATATGTCGATAATGGAGTATAAGTACAGATAAAGATGAACATTTTGTTTTTTGGCAGTTGTTCATGAGCTTGTCTAGGTCTTGGCAGAAAACATTTTTACAATGGTTTTTGTTGCGTGCAAGATTTTCCAAATTTCAAGACAAATAAAAGTTTATATGCCTTTCAAAATGATTTCACCATGTTTAAATGTATTATAAAGAGCTGGATAGCAGATTAGGGAATTATAATAAGAGGAAACAGCAGGCCGTCAGAGGGCTGTTCCGAGATGTCACAACATCAGCACAGGGCGCCACCTACTGGCCAGTAAGCTTGGAACCAGAACAAAGAGTTTTTAATTGGCAAAAATGTGTCATAATAAAATCAAGGGTGCTAAGTGTGATAGACAGGGCTGGCTTTCAGAGAGAGACACTGAATACATACATATCAATCGACGAGATTCTAATTTGAAAGACGGATGACGTATTTCTGTCGGTGATGATTGTGGAAAAAAAAAAAAACGTAGGTCATTGTGCATTGTTACGGGAGTATGTGTGCTGAAGACACCCAGCATGATCTCCATGATCTGTTTACATCCTTCCAACACGACACAAAGATATTATAGGCCGCGTTGTACCTTGGACTTCTGAAATTCAGAAGCTGTTGGACTGTCCATGCGCAACACATACAGAACAATGTAGTCAACATACATATAGAATAGGTAACAAAATTTTTGCAACACGCTCTTGTAGAATAGGTATTTGCTACAAAATCAAAACACGTCAGATGTTTATTGTAGCTCTAGTTCCATGCCAGTTCCCTGTCAAATAAATAATAAAATGAAATGGAATTAACTTCATAGGAACATTAACTTGGCCAATGTAGGTGGCTGGGAGAGCTACGGAGCAGAACCTCATGGTGCCCCTGTTGTCTTCCAGCTTGTTGCTTCGATCGTCTCCCTTTTCTTTCTGGTGATAGACGGTGTCTTCCTTCTTTTCCGCTTTGTGAGTACCCTGCAAGCTGGATCACTGTGTTTAGAATTATGTTTAGCTAGATAATTGCATGCATATATAGGGCATCTTAACAGTGGGCATGTAACTGTTTGTGTATATTTGGTTATTACACATATTCATCTAAAGTGGTTTAAGACACAGATTTATAAATTGAAAGCTACCGGTTCAGTTCCCAGGTTGTGCCATAGTAACCATACAAAGATATACATTCTCTCTGTAGGACATGCGCCCCCTCAAGGCTGGGCGGTGCAAGTTCTATACCTGTGGAAATGACTACATCTATGAAAACTACTATATACCTCGGTAGGCCTGCTGGTACTTTATCAGGTGTGACATTTTCTAACATGGAGGTTATTTTATGTAGGTCAGTGCATGTCATATGTGCATACAATAGTCTGGCTATTAGCCATTAAATTGTACTTGATACTTCTCTCAGTAATTTATTTTCCAGTTGTGATTCCAGTATATATTCGTTTGATTCCAATTAAATCTATGGATTGATATGAATCAACAGGCGGGCTGATGAATCAGTACTGTATTTTTCTGGTATTTAATATTATATTTTTTCATCCTAGAATTGCATTTGCTGCACCTTCTGAGGCTGCTTGCGTTGTGCTTGTAGTTGAGCAGTCAGGTGGAACATTCTGGAAGCCCTGTCAAGTGGCAGCTATAGTACTGTACTGTCTAATACTTAGATGAGTTGCATGTATAGACATGATGGTTGGCTTATGTCCTTCAACAGTTCTAAGTATTAGTGTTGATTCCATTATCACCCACTTTGTACTTATGGACTGTCTCCTGGGGTCTCTTGTGTTCAAGTTCAGATCCTGTGTAACTTTTTGTGTGCAGTGATGTTGCACCAGTTGGTTCCCATGTCATCGTCAGGTGCCATATCAGGGTCTGATGGAGTCATGCCACATGAGTGTGCGGAGTGGTACCTGCCACTGCTGCGACCAGTACAACTGCGCCAAGTGAGTGAGGTCATAGGTCAAAGGTCAGAATAATACCCTTATCAGACATCTTGGTTACAGGCATCTTACAATACTACTTGATCATCAGTAGTAAGTGCTGTAGGTACTTAAATGCTAACGTTGTGCCATTGGTAGTTAAACTAAGTGATGTCCATCAGAGGCTAGGAGCTCAAAGCCAATGTTTTTGTGTCAGTGGTGGGTATCTGAACCATCACTACCAGTTTGTGGGTGTGCAGAGCTGTCAAGATGTGCTGTTGCTGTATCGAGCGATGTGGATCCTCATTGTCCTGTATCTGGTTGCCTTTGGCCTGGGTGTGTTCACTGCTGCAGTACTGGGAGGCATCAAGGACCAGGTAAAGGAGGCGAGTCACCTGATGAGGTTCAGGAGGGGGTGGAACATCTCATGTGTGGTTACTCATGATGTGGATCAGGCAGGGAATATGAGTCTCATGATGTGGATCAGGCAGGGAATATGAGTCTCATGATGTGGATCAGGCAGGGAATATGAGTCACATGATATGGATCAGGCAGGGAATATGAGTCACATGATGGGGATCAGGAAGTCAGGAGTGGTCAGTTCTCCTTTGACAGTATGTATGTTCTCAGACTTCCCATAGTAAGATTTCCTTCAGTACATGAAAAGTCAGAATGGATTTGGCTGTTCTGTTTTTCTCACTCTCTGTCTCTGTCAGAAATACTGTTCCATCACAAAGGGGACAGGAAGGCAGCCATCTGCCCCGTGTCCCCGACAGTACAGACCCCATCTACCCCACTGCCCCCCTGCTGTCCCACCACACCCTCCACCCCATCAGTCAAGCCCCTTCAACATCTGGCATCATCTAGCAACAGGCAGCTCTGAAGCAGGTTACTAAGATGGCCCAAATCATCATCAACGCGAACTGCCAGCAGTTAAGGACGTCTTTCTGTTTACATGTAGTAACCTCCTCAGAGATCCTGCCCACCCTGCACAAGTTACTCCTCTGTGGAAGATGTTAAAGGTTAATTTCCTTGTGCGCCACAAGACTGAAAAGTAGATTCTTCCCCTGGTGCTGTTAAACTGCTGCACCCCTCCAACAGCAGGTGCACACGTGCACAACGTCTTACACACTCACATAACATTGACCCTCTTGTGCAATGTACACATTATTACAGACTGCATCCACTGTGTTATTGTTTTAAGTTTAATTTCTCATTACTGCTTAATATGCTGTTGAACCTTATTTGTCATTGTCTGCGATTATTGCCCCTTAATTGTTGCCGTTTGTGACTAGCACACCTTATAGTTGTTGTTGACCTGTCTTGGACTAGGGAATACCATCACAATTTCATAGTTTGTTGTTCTCAGTTATTCAATGACAAAGTCTTCTCATCTTACATAGCAGCTAAAAGTGTCATACAGTAAGTAGTGCAAGGCAATTTGCCTAAACAATGTCAGCAGCCATACCACCCGAACTTCATACTAAATAACCCACCTGAAGCTACGCAGGTTTGGGCCTGGCTGGTACCTGGATGGGAGACCAGCTAGAAAAGCAGGGTTGCTGCTGGGAGAGGTGTTGGTGTGGCTGACAGGTTAGTCTATCCTGTGGTCTGTGTGGATCTCAATGCCCCAGTGCAGTGATGGGGACACTG